ATTTTGATTATAATATATATACAGTATATAGATGGACCAAAAGGAGAATAGGTGGCTGAAAGGACTGCAATCTATACCATGCTATAGCTTAAGAGAGGTTTTTTTTTTTTTTTTTTTTGGCAAAATGATGTACCACTGGTATATAGCACTAGAAGAATTTCTCCTGGATGTAGACAGGTACTTTTAATTTTTGTTGGAAATGTGGAAAATACATAGGGTCATTTTATAATGCATGATAGACTTGCAAAACTAGAAAACCTGAGGTATAAATGCATATAGTGTTACAGAGACTGTTAAAGATTATTGTTCAGTTGAAACTAAATAGTTTTTGTTGAACCTATGGATAGTCAGATAGAAAAGATTCATGGAGGACTGATTTTGTCTATGGTAACTGCAGTGAGACTACACACTGAAAGATCCCAAAATACCCACAACACAAGTATAGTTGGTGAAGACAACCAGATTTGCAGAAACTGCAAAATTAACTTGTTTGATCATGGAGAAAACAATAAGTACATATATTGGTGAAACTCTTTATGGACATTCTGCTGAAAATGGAAAAAAATAAACTGGTGGCTTGTGGATTTGATGAACAGAAAGGATAAAATATGGAAGGAAAGGAATTATGAAGTAACCGTAAAGAAGGAGGGTAGATCAGGGCTTTTCAACCAGTGGTACGGGTACCTGGCTTTTCAACCAGTGGTACATTGGCACCTGGCAGGTGGTATGCAACCATCCTAGAAAAGTGGTAGTGGGGGAGGGGAATGAGCTGAACCAGTGGCAGCACTGCACAAGCCTGAGCAAGAGATGGCTAGAGCTGCAGGGCTGTCGGGGCTCAGCGGGAGTGCCAGGATCAGTGCCGCTTTCCAGCTGATCGGCGCTTCTTCGGGGCTGTCAGGGCTCAGTGGAAGCGCCAGGATCAGCGCCAGGCTCCAGCTGGAGCTTGGCACTGATCCTGATGCTTCTGCTGAGCCCAGAAGAAGCACCGATCAGCTGGAATGTTGCAGCATCTCCAGGGTCTTGTGATTTACATTCAGATGCTTGGCAACTGATGCATATTTATGACGGTCACAGTGTCCCACAGTCATGTGAAGTGACCAAAACCTGCTGCAACCACCCAGCAGACGGGGGGAATAAAAACCAAACACCCCCCACCACACCCCCGCTGCCAATCCTCAACAGAAATGCTCACAACAATGAAAACCTTGGACAGGAGGAAGAGCGCTGCCGGGTGCTGTCTTGCTCGGCTGTGGCTTGGGGGGCACTTTTTTCAGTGCCACTGTAACTTTGAACAGTCACTAAGAGAACTGTTGTAAGTCGAGGACTACCTGTACTTTATCACTTTTTTCCTTTTTGGGTGGGGTCATCAAGTTTTTGTCACCTTGCTAGTTGACTGGTGGTACTCCGATGTTGCCATATCCTAAAAGTAGTATTATGTGTGAAAAGGTTGAAAAGCCCTGGGATAGATGATAAATTTATTTGTTCTTTAACTGCTGTAAAGAAGATCATCAGAATTCAGTATAAACCACTTTCTTAATGCCTCAAATACAAGGGTATGTGTCAAAGTCAGTTCACACATTATGCTAACAGTCCTCAGGTACTGAGGAATGAAGTTATAAAAAGTGAAATAATGCATCGGTCCATGTGAACCATCCTATAGTCCTCAACCATTTGAGTTTATCTCTGATTTATACCTTTGCCATGCCATAGCTGCGTATGCAAAGGTGATTTTTAATAATTATTTTTATTTTTCATATTGGGGACCACTTATTGTGCCAGCTTAAGGAACAACCCTTGTAGAAGGTTTCTAAGACAGAACATCTCCATCAATGTCATGTACAAATTGAACTAGCTTTTTATATTCCTGGCACTAACAAATAATAAAGATATTTTTAATTTTTTTATGATATGTTTTTATTGTACACATGCCCAGAGTTACATTTCTGAGATGGTGGCTATATGAATATGATGGATAATTGAATGAATAATCATCAAACATTGCAATAAAATAAAAAGTATGATAATTATCTTATTTCACTGATTCAAGAACTGTAGATAATGTCCTAAAAATCTGGAATTCTCATACTCAATTAGACCATTTTAAAATTTTTTAACACCTTCTATTATTTTTAGTAAGAAAAATACAGGAGGATACTGTGAAAACTTTCAGTACTGGTGACACCCCTGGTATAAGAGCTCGAAAGAGAGGAGGGAGGGGGAGTCTAAGGAGTAGCAGTGACAGGAGTCTTAATTAAGGGTATACTCAGTCTTATCATAGATAACTTTTTTATCCTTACATGACTTATGGGCTTTACAATCTATTCTATTCTATTCTACGTTTTCAATTTCCTGCAGTTGAAAGCATGCAAGGAACAGTTTGAAAAAGCATAACAAATGAAAAGAGGACCAGCAGCTGTAAGGGCAGCAATATTGTCAATGTAGGGAGGACCAAAAGATGGGGTGGGGAGGGAGAACAGAGGGAGAATTAAGGAGGGCCGGCTGAGGACAGAAATAAAAGCACACTAACTGGCAATTCAATGCCTTGGTATTACCAGCCTGCTGAGAGCAATTACAATAGCACAGACAGGACTTGCTTTATTGTGACCTTACTGAATTAACTTTGAGGGCAGGGGGAAAAAAAACCACTCAGTGATTCAGCAGGGAATTTATTAGAAAATTTTAATGCCAACTTAAATTTGATCCAAAGGCCTCAATATTAAAGGTCATCTCCATTGCTATACTACTGGAAACCCTTGGGTCCTTTTTTTTTTTGCTTCCAAGTGCCTCTATTGCTTTCCTCTTGTTTTCTTTCATAAATAAATTAAAAAAAAATAGGTCAGCATTCTTGCTTCAAGCTCCTTGGCATTTTTATCTGATGTGACAGGTCTCCTCATTTTTGTTGAGAGTTTTTTTTGGGGGGGGGGGGCTGGGAAACCACAAACAGTTTTACAATTTCTAAAGTATATCTTAATAAACGAGAATACACCTCAGATAGAAATGATAAAGCAAAAATGATACAAGTGATATTTACATTTTAAACCCTGAAAACATGCACAAGTACATTGCTGTAATTAAAAAAATGTGCAATAAAATGCCAGGGAAAATACAAGGGAAAGGAAGGAGGAGGAGGATTTTTGTAAGAAACAGGTGAGAAAAGATTTAGGGTAGATCTTCATTTTCAGCTTGATCACTGCCCTGGGTACCCATTTTTTCTTCGGCTACTGAGTTGTTAGATGCTCTGCTAGGCAGCATTTGCTAACTTTTTATAATCTTCTGGTTGATTGAATGATGGCTTGTTAAGTCCATGAATTATCATTTATCCTAGAAGCTGATGCTCCTTTTTTTACGTGTAACTAACATATATATTGTCAACTAACTGAATAACATAAATGCATAATACAGACAAATATCTGCTAAAATATGAGTAGAGAGGAACAGATAATAAACAGTTTTATATTTACTGAATATCGTAAGTACTGCCAATAGCTTGTATGTTGCAATTAAGAAAATTTACAAAATCAGCCCAAATTCGATAGAACTGTGGTTCCTGCCTCTGACATTCTATTATTTTGACTTTACCTGTAGTCTTTTTAAGCATGGCAGTTGAACTAGTCTTTTTAATCCACATTTTCCAATGTTGAGTATTTATTATTTAGCTGCTAAGATTAAGTAAATAATAAGACCCTTATTTTAAGCTTAAAATTCAATCCTATAAATAAAACAACTATAACTGAAAAGGTAGAAGTTTCAAAATTAAATTAATATAGATGCAATGCTCAGCATTTGATTTTAAAATATTTTAATTTTAACAGAAGGTAGTTGTCTATTAGCAGCCTAATCTTTTGTGGCTACTGAATACTTATTGATGGTTCTTAATGGCTTATGTTAGCATTCCTCTGAGATGTTAATCAATCTTGGGCTTTTTTAAAATTGACATCCATAATGTGTTTTACATTAGTCAATACTTCTTAATTGTCAAGCTGTAACAGCAGAAGTTCAATAATAAATCTCTTCAATAAATAACTTCAGATACTAGAATTTTTAAATGTTTCCTCTTCTGAGGAATGGAATATATTGATAACTTGTTGTTGTTAATTGCGAAGTCGTGTCCGACCCATCGCGACCCCATGGACAACATTCCTCCAGGTCTTCCTGTCCTCTACCATCTTCTGGAGTCCATTTAAATTCACACCTACTGCTTCAGTGACTCCATCCAGCCATCTCATTCTCTGTCGTCCCCTTCTTCTATTGCCCTCAATCTTTCCCAGCAGGCCCTTCTCCAGTGAGTCCTTCCTTCTCATTAGGTGGCCAAAGTATTTGAGTTTCAACTTCAGGATCTGGCCTTCTAAAGAGCAGTCGGGGGTTGATCTCTCCTAGGACTGAGCGGTTTGAACGCCTTGCAGTCCAAGGGACTCGCAGGAGTCTTCTCCAGCACCACAGTTCAAAGGCCTCAATTCTTTTGCGCTCAGCCTTTCTTATGGTCCAACTTTCACAGCCATACATTGCAACTGGGAAAATCATGGCCTGGACTATGCGCACTTTTGTTGGAAGGGTGATGTCTCTGCTTTTTAGAATGCTGTCTAGATTTGCCATAGCTTTCCTCCCCAGGAGCAAGCGTCTTTTAATTTCTTGGCTGCAGTCCCCATCTGAGGTGATCGTGGAGCCCAGAAAAATAAAATCTGTCACTACCTCCATTTCTTCCCCATCTATTTGCCAGGAATTGAGAGGGCCGGATGCCATGATTTTGGTTTTCTTAATGTTGAGTTTCAAGCCAACTTTTGCACTCTCCTTCTTCACCCGCATCAAGAGGCTCTTTAGTTCCTCTTCACTTTCTGCCATTAGAGTGGTATCATCTGCATATCTTAGGTTGTTGATATTTATCCCGGCAATCTTAATTCCAACTTTTGATTCATCTAGCCCTGCCTTTCTCATGATGTGCTCTGAATATAAGTTAAATAGGCAGGGCGACAGTATACAGCCTTGCCGGACTCCTTTTCCAATTTTGAACCAATCAGTGGTTCCGTGTTCGGTTCTCACTGTTGCTTCTTGACCCGCATATAGGTTTCTCAAGAGACAAATGAGATGGTCTGGTACTCCCATCTCTTTAACTGCTACTGGGTAAATTGCAGGAACAAAGGAAAAAAGCTCCTCCATCTTAGAAATACTTCTTAATGCTTAGAATTAAGAGACAAGTTTGGTGCAAATGTAACATTCTGCTGCCCTTAATACTGATTAGGAGATCAATGCTCCCCTGCATACTATTTCCAACCTGTATTCAACTCCCCCTCCCATTCCCCTTTTAAAGCCAACGAGGTTGATTTGCAATGTCTTATCTGCAGTGATGTTAACCTTAATGTGCCTCACCCAAATCAGAGTTTGCCATCCTACTTCTTCTAGGCCATGGCCCTATTAAGATTTGGCCTGAACAACACATTTAGAATGTTGAGACTGCTATTTGCTCTTTGAGAAGGAACTGTGGTCTAGAATGACCCTCAGATTACACACAGGTCTGTCTGAGTCAATGCCACCCCATCCAGCACCAAAGATAGCACAGTTCTAGAATCAGTAGGCCCCAAACCCGCTCTGTCTTGCCAGGATTCAGCTGAAGCTTGTTATGCTTCATCCAGGCTCACATAGCCTCCAGCCACTGGGATGTCTACAGCATTTCTTAATTCATCAGGGGGCAGAGATGTATAGCTAAGTATCAGCAGCATATTGATAGAGACCTATCCCATGATGTAGTTGAACTCACCAGCAGCCCTATGTGGATGTTAAATAGGAGAGGAACCCTGAACCCTGTGACACCTTATATAATAGGGGCTGACGATGGGACATCTCCTCCCCAATCTTCACTGACTGGAATTGACCCTGAAGAAAGGAGGCAAATCAGCACAACACTGTGCTGCCAATGCCAATCCTCTGAGCCAGAAGGATCCCATGGTTGATGGTATTAAAAGCTGCTAAGAGATCAAGTAAGGTAAGGATGGATACACAACCCCCATCCTGCCCATGCCAGAGATCATCCAAAAGCGCAACCAGTGCTATTTTCATTCCATATCCAGATCTGAATCTTGATTGAGAAGGATGCAGATAAATCATTTTATCCAAGAACATCTGAAGCTGTTGTGAAAATACTCTCTCAAACACTTTCTCCAAAAAGGAGAAGTGGGATATGGGCAAAAATTATTCAGTATGGTGGGGTTCAGCAATGGCTTTTTAGAAGGGGATGAAGCAAAGCCATTTTAAGAGATAAAGAAACAACTCCCTCACTCAAAGAATTAATCATTGCTAGACCCTACTCACAGGACATCTCCTGGGCTGCTTTGACAAGCCAGGAGGGGAATGAATCTAAAGAGCTGGTGGCTGAGGTCTAGTAATGGGATCATCATGAAAAAGATTTGCTTCTTCGCTTCTCTGCACAAGGTAGAATCAAGAACCTCCTATAACAACTGACCAGGACAGAGAAATTTATTCTAGAGAAGTCAGTTTCTTCATTATGCTGGGGCCCTGTATACTATGAGCTTGAACTGTACCTGGAAACAATCAGTGGTCAATGAAGCACCCATAGAAATCTAGATGGTTAAAGTGCCTCCCAAGTACCAGCAATTGGACCACTACATTTCATAAAGGATGAAATTCCAGAGTAGACCTCAAGGGCAACCTCATGGTGTAGCCCAAGTAAGAAGTAATAAGGATATGAATTACCATTGATAAAGCTTCCTGCTCTGAATAGTCTGCAACTACTAGTGGGCCGGCTCAGGCTGAATAAAGACCTCACTTATAAATATAAAGGGCAGCGAAACAAGTAAGGAGGCAGCTCATCAATCTGATAGGAATTATGTGTACTATATACTTTTGCCAATGAGATCTCATGCCAGCTTCTATCGATCATTTCCATCAGCTGTGAAAGCCTGGAACAGCTTTTATAAAGTAATACTAATAAGCAACTAGCTCTTCTGTGATTTGTTTTCAATCTAGAATATGCTATTCAACACAGAAGGGTTTAAGCGAAGAGCACTGCCTAGCCACTGTTGTTATTTACAAAATGGAGCTGAGGAATGAAATTGAGGTCCATAATAAGGAAGCATAAAACCCTTAAGGAGGGCTGCTATACTGGTGTCCCAATGGGAAGATAACAAAAGTTGGATTAAGATAACTAAAATCCTAGTTCCAAATTTACTGTCAGACAACAAAAAGGACCAGCCACCTCCAAAACCATGGCAATAGATTACTTCTCTAAGTATTACTCCTCACATATCCAAACATCCAATATGGCCTGAGAGACAATTTATATCACTTCTTTAAGACTGAAGAAAAGGTATCTGCAGAAAAAGGAACAAGACTGTTCACTCCTCCACACAAATAAATGAACCATTTGATTTCTGTCAAGCCTTTCACTCCCTCACCAGGTCCCCGCAGAATAGAACAGAACGATGTGTTCTATTAACTGTTTTTGAACATGTATTTACAGAAAATATAAGAAATTGACAACTACTTTCCTACAAAGTTTTCTACTTTTTTTTTTCTTTTCATAACAAAATAAATCACTTACAAAACTTAAAAAGTATACAGGAATGCTCTTTTATGATTTTTTAACTTTTGAAAGCTCCTTTTGTAAATTTTTGTCAAGATTGACAGAACTAAATGACAGTAATCTGTCATGTTTCCCCAATTCCTCCCAGAACTGATTCAAGTAGTTGTTTATGAACCTGAGATGCCAACGGTCATTTTGATGACTAAACCATAAATTAGCATTTAAAGAGAACATAAATTTGATTTCACAGAAGCAACAAATTATTAGGCAGCTGGGATATTATTTAATTTTTATTGACATGTCATGGAAAAAGAAAGTCAGCTAAAAGTGGTGTGCTACATTTTAATAAACCTCAAACTTCAAAATACACATGCTTGATCAGCTTCAGCTCTATTGTTTAAAAACTGTATAAATATTTCATCTTTAAGTATTTCTAAAAGCCCTAGTTACATGTAATATTCTTCACTGTCCAAACTGTTCAAATATACATAGGCAATTAAAAAGTATGACATTTCAAAATAATGTGAATATACTTAAAATTTGTTAATACAAATTAGACAATCATGAAATACAGCAGTGTTAATATAGCTCTAGATATCATGAAGCAATTTATTTTTACCCTTATGAAGAAGTTTTGCTTAAAACTGTCAAAGAGTCATGTTTGCATTTAGGCATTAATTTACAAACCTTAAATAATAGGATATAATATTATATCATTTTGAAAATATTTCTATATTTAAAAATTCCCACACAGCCATAGCAACAATTTATTACTAAATGTATACTTACCAAAGTAAACTTAAATATAATCCACAATATTCATGCCATTGCATTGTCAATACACAGGGCAAATCTTACAATACAGTATGTTCGCTGCTATTATTTTTAGCATGCAAATAATTCAAACTTGTAGTTAAATTTTTTCTACTTATCAATTTTGTTCGCTGTTTTAATGTTCTTCTGAAATAAAAAGTGGAATGAATATTTCAGATGATATCACAAGAGGTTCCATGAGAAATTGAAACTATGTAAGTCTATAAATATAAAAATACTACTTTCTTTAGTGACCCTATTCAGAATTCCATTCAACTAGTTATATTCTTCTACAACAGACATGTCAAACACAAGGCCCGGGGGCCAGATGCGGCCCACGAAGTGGTTTCATGTGGCCCGCGAAGCCATCCTGGAAACAGTGAGGGAACGGCCCCCTCTGCCTTGGCCCTGGCCCAGACCGGCCGGGAGCCAATGTACAGTTTTGTGGTGGCCATCTATGCTGAAACGCATTCAGTCTTAGCTCCACAAGGCCGTCTAGAAACAACGAGGAACCAGCCCCTGCTGTTTCAGCCCCGCCCCCTGGATGCATGCTGGGGAGGTGTCATCTTTTGTGAGGAATGAAGAAATGGACCATGCCTTGGTGCTTGCCCCGGTCCCATCCCCTTTTGCCAGAGACCCTCAGATCTGTCCCACTCCTGCTTAGGACCTCACAGGCACCCTTGACGCGAACGATGTGGAGCTGGCCATGCCCACCCAGTAGGCCATACCCACTCCATCGATGCCCACCCAGTAGGCCGCACCCACCCTGGCCACAGCCCCCGGGCCCCCCGAGGGCAACTGCAATACTGATGCGGCCCTCAATGAAATTGAGTTTGACACCCCTGTTCTACAACACTGATTCTACTTTGGCTGATTTTCAGTTTTTCCTTCTAATCCAGTCAGCATTTTATATCCAGTGAATAGGGTGAGTTGTAAATGGGCTATTTTGGTTCCTTCTGCTTATTAGTTCTTCCTTTGGTTTATTCCTGGGCTTGCTGTAATTTTTTTATTTCTGACTGGCTCGTACTCTGGCTACGTTAAGAATCCATGCTAGGGAGAAGATCTCAAATTAGTTTATTGCCAACTAGCAAAATGTGTACTAACAGAATGTATGCATTGTTTTAGTATGTTCTTTATGTTATAAAACAAACTTATGAGTAAAACTCAAAAGATCATAAATAAATTAATAATGTTCATATTTAATGAAGTGCCTCAAACAGATAGTTCCCTACTAAAGATGACAATAAGATTTTAATATTCGTTGCTTTAAATGTCTTCTTTTCCCTTTTAACTACTTCTGTTTTTATTATAAGATACTTCGAGCATAAAACCAATGGAAACGTGAGATATAAACTGAATAAATTATTGACAAAAACAAATGGAATGCACACACATCCTTCACATCAGGTTTATAAATCTTCTTTGGCAGATTAGGAGCAGGACTGGGTTTGGAACCTTTGCAGATTTTCTTTAAATGGTGATAGGCTTATTTTAGGCCCTAATTTCCAGTTTTCTCCAACTGATGGAACAACCTGCCACTTTTAGCAATCATAATCAATGGATTGTGTAAATGGTTTCCAGGGCCATATTTGGCATTGTAGAACAATGTCATTAATCAGCTATATGAATACAACTCAACTTACAAAGACTTTAATCTGTGCCTTCCTAATTCAGCGAGAGGCATCATAAGATTCAATAACGTTTATTTCTAAATAACTAATTTGGTAATTCTGTGGGATTTTAACTTTTCCAGCATTAAGAAATTTAAATAAGATTACAGCACCTAGAATACAGTATACAAAATAAGATATAGAAACAATTCTTCCTATTGATCAGAGTGCAGTGATAAAAAATATCTTTTTTGCACTTAAATCCTTACTTCAGTATCTTCTAAATTAAAGGATCAAGAGTAGTAAAGCTGAGAAAAGATTTGTATCGACATTTTGGAGCACTAGCTACAATGGGAATGATTGGTTAGACTTATAGGCTCCTTAAGCACCATATCTTTATATTTGTGTGTACAATGGTTTCCATTTTCCTTTTCTAATAAGCTGTTTTTAAAGTGCCAACAATATAAATTTCTATTTTATCTTTTGAATCTTCTAATCAGAAGCATGTGTATACTAATGTTAACTGATAAGGTATATATTCAATCTATGTTCATGAAGAGATTAAAGCAGACAAGAATTATATACTTGAAGAAAAGAAATACTATACCAAGTGTTTAATTAATTGACCGCTTACCTGCCGGTGTATCATTTCCAGATTAGTTTTTGCTTTGTTGATTAGTGTATCTATTTCTGACGATTCCTGGATATTTTTGTTTTCTCGAAAGGTATCTCTTATTTTTCTGATGGCATATGTCCTAAGTAAATTTTTAAGAAAAAAATGTAAACATACAGTACACTGTCTTCTCAAAGCTTTAAATACAAACTGTATACAAACAAATATTCAGATGAACACAAGGTGAATGAATATTCAACATATTTGAAGATGGTGTTTGAGATAAGTGGAAGTCATGCCATCCAGAGCTCTGAAAGCTAAAAATTGGTATTTTGAATTATAACTAGAAACTTACTTGAAATCAGTGCAGCATTCATAAAACTGATGTTACATTCAGTTGTAATGGCTCTCAGTCATCAGCATAGAGGCCACCGCAATTTACAAAACTATAGATTTTCTGAGTAGTCTTTAAAGGAATCCCCATGCAAAGGACAATTTGGTAGTCTCATTCCCATGCCTAATTTCTAATTGAAAGGGATCCTTATTTGGGCTGGCCTTCTGTTACCATCTTCCTGAAAAAAGGGATGGAAATTGAATCCTGAGAAAGCTATTTCAGGAAAGGATGCATTATAACCTCATTTAAAGCATCTGATAGACTACCATTACCAAAAGGAATGCTAATTACCTCCCAGATTCAACCATCCCCACCTCCCCTGGCTCCTGGAAGGTGCCAAGTGGGGCACGTATCCAGCCCACAAGTGGTGATGTTCATATCCCAAAATACTTTATATATTTCCTCCAAGTTGACAAGTGAAAAGAAATCCCAGCATTTCCAGACATCAATTTGGTCACCTCATTAGACCCTGCTCTTGCAGCAAATCTAAATATTATTATTGAGATGTGCAAATAATCCTTAATGGTGGATCTTCCTGCTTATATTTCTCCAATGTTCCAGGTGTTATTTCTGTTTCTTTATGTTCTAGAGTTGCTTAATAAATCAAATTGATCCCCACTCTGGTACAATAGTTTGGGAGGCAGTGGCAGGGCGTAGCCCAGATGTGGCCCCGCAGCAGTAGCAAAGCTAGTCCTCCCCACTCAAGCGGCCACCAGCAGCTCCTTGGCTCCATCCAAGTTGAAGAACGCAGAGGCTCAGTAGCGGGATTGCTCTCAATAAGGTGGGTGCACACGAGTGAGCAGTGCACCCGGCTCTTATTGTTTGAGAGCAATACTGCTGCTATGCCTCCGCTTTCAACTCAGACGGAGCCGAGGTACCCAAGCTGCTGCACCGCCTGCCTTCCCCTCCCCCCTGTGCCTCAGGCCAGTGCCACCAGCAGCTTGCTCAGATCCATTCGGCTGCCGCCGCCGCTGAGAAGAGTGGTGAGGTTTTGTGCCAGCCGGCCAGCTAGTCAAGCAGTCGGTCAGAGGATGGTGAGGGGGGAATCATGGAAGGAAGAATGTAGTGGGGTGCCCCAGGGCTCTGTTCTGGGCCCAATGCTTTTCAACATCTTCATCAATGATTTGGATGAGGGGATAGATGGGGAACTCTTCAAATTTGCAGACGACACCAAGCTGGTAGGAATAGCCAACACTCCAGAAGACAGGCTTAAGATACAGAAGGATCTGGACAGACTTGAACACTGGGCACTAACTAACAAAATGAAATTCAATGGTGAAAAAAGCAAGGTTCTACATTTAGGCAAGAAAAACCAAATGCACAAGTACAGCATAGGTGGCACCATGCTCAACAGTAGTAACTGTGAGAGGGACCTCGAAGTCCTAGTAGACAATCACCTAAATATGAGCCAGCAGTGTGCTGCAGCTGCCAAAAAGGCCAACACAGTGCTAGGCTACATTAACAGAGGGATAAAATAAAGATCACGTGAAGTGTTAATACTACTCTACAATGCCTTGGTAAGGCCACACTTGGAATACTGCATCCAGATTTGGTCACCACAATGTAAAAAAGATGTTGAGACTCTAGAAAGAGTACAGAGAAAAACAACAAAGAGGATTAGGGGACTGAGGCTAAAACATATAAGGAACGGTTGCTTGCATTGGATATGTCTAGTTTAGTGAAGAGAAGGATGAGGGGCGACATGATAGCAGTGTTCCAATATCTCAGGGGTTGCCACAAGGAAGAGGGAGTCAAGCTATTCTCCAAAGCACCTAAAGGCAAGACAAGAAGCAATGGATGGAAACTAAACAAAGAGAGAAGTAACCTAGAACTAAGGATAATTTTCCTGACAGTTAGAACAATTAACCAGTGGAACAACCTGCCTCCAGAAGCGGTGAATGCTCCAACACTGGAAGTTTTTAAGAAGAAACTGGACAGCCATTTGTCTGAAATGGTATAGGGTTTCCTGCCTGAGCAGGGGGTTGGACTAGATGACCTCCAAGGTCCCTTCCATCATCATCATCACCATCATCTCCTGGGTAAGGCTGTCAGATGTGGAGGGCAAAATGCTAAATGACCATTAAATGGCAGCAAGGAGATAGGGGGAAGTGTAAACTTTTGTCTTCTGGTTCTCTGAAGTGTTCTAGATCAAATCTGGAACCCTAGTAAAGACACTGTACTGCATTCAATTTGTATACCTTTTTAAAGACTCCTTTCCCATGTATTCTCAGAATTGCCTGTTTTTCTAAGGTGCAACGCAATTATTAACAATATATAATAATGTCTCCTTTATTATACAAGGTTATAAAACCAAGCACATTTACAGGACAAGGCAGTAAGCACCAAAATAAAGAATGTGAAAGAGTAAGTTGAATTTAAGCGTTATAGTTCTGTCTTGTTGGCTTGTAAATTATAAAGGTCCATTTTAACTCTTGATTAGCCAACGAGTCTTCTTTTACTCCCCTCTCCCCTAGTATTTAAGTTAAAAAAAAAATCAAAACGCTTGAAACTAAAATCATTTCCATCCTCTCTTCCACTCGGATTTTGATAACAAGCAGCACAGATCATTTTATTCATTTAAAATAAACCCTAAAATAAACCCTACGCGCATTTAACTGAAGTGGGGGATGGATGGGGAATGGCTTTCAATGGGGACAGAAGAAGGAATGGGCGCCGAAGGCTCCACTCGCAAGACGCCCTCTTCCTACCTATAGCCATAGGCGCTGAAACCCTGACTTTCTCGCAGCAAGGCCCGATAGAGACGCAGCACTTCAGACCTTCTGGACGCTGCCATCTTGTAAACACGCTGCCGGGCTTCCCGGCAAGCCCCTGCGCCTTGGCTGCCTCAGTCTGAGCCTGATTCCGGAAGCGGCCCGGGGGAAGCGGGGAAGGTCGGACTCGGTTGGCGAACCGGGCGCTGGGTGGGAGACGTAGGGCAAGGCGGGCTCGCCTCTTGGCCTGGGCGGGCTGCCCCTTCTCCAGGACGCCTCAGGCGGGGGGCGGCCAGCTTCTGCTTCTAAGTCGGGAGACGGATCTGGCTGGAAGAAGAGAAGGTGAGTCTGCGAAGGAGGAGGAGGAGGGCGCGCGGCTCTGCAATGTGCCGGGCCGGAAAAGTGGGCTCCCGTTTCCTGAATTGGGGAGGAAAAAGTGGTTTGTTTCCCCCCCCCCACCAGTCCTTGTCACTACTTTCATTCCCTCGTCTTTTTAAAACTCCTATATGCCGCCTTTCTGCCAGCACGTTCTTTTCTGTCCAAATCTTGCAAAGCTTCTGATTTGAAACATTTCCTTCCTAATGCATTTGTGATACTAGAACATACAGCTTGGAACACACGGGTGGAGTTTGGGAACTGGTACTGCGGTCCTTTAGTAAATGCTGAAGATTGCACCGGGATGTTTGTCTGTCATCGTTTCGGTTCAAGGGATCAGGACGCCCCTTCCCCACACTTGCCAACTTTGGCTTCCGCCACCTTTCTTTTAGACAGATCCTGTAACTAGCGATTATCAGAAAGTGGGGCATTTTCCACCCTGTTGTGAAAGTATGTACAGGTAGTCCTCAACTTACAACAGTTTATTTAGTGCAGGGGTCCTCAACTCCTGGTCCATGGACTGGCATCGGTCGGCAGCTTGCCAACAAGCGGGCCGCACAAGCAAATAAAGCTCCATCCTTGGGATGCAGGCAGTATTCAAAACCACACCCCCTCTGGTCCATGGAAAAACTTTTCTCCATGGCACTGGTCCCTGGTGCCCAAAAGGTTGGAGATCTCTGATTTAGTGACTGTTCAAAGTTACAATGGCACCAAAAAAGTGACTTATGACCCTTTTTCATTCTTACGACCATTGCAGCATCCTGATTGTCACATGATCAAAATTCAGATGCTTGACAGTGGGTTCATATTTATGATGTTTGCAGTGTCCTGGGATCATGTGATCAACTTTTCCAACCTTCTGACAAGCAAAGTCAGTGGGGAAGCCAGACTCACTTAACAGCTGTGTTACTAACTTTAACAACTGCAATGATTCACTTAACAGCTGTAGCAAGAAAGATCATAAAGTGGGGCAAACTCACTTAACAAATGTTTCCCTTAGCAACATAAATTTTAGGCTTAGTTGTGGTCATAAGCTGAGCACTACCTGATGTACTACAGAAGCTAATACTACATGTGTTTAACATGAGTTGTAAACGAATCAGGATCTATACTATGTGCATAACCAGAGCCCATCAATCTGATTTCTGCATTTATTGATGTATTTATTTTGCAGGTTATGCAGTTTATATATATGGCATAGAACTATTCAATATGTTCCTGGTCCTTCACCCATATGCATTCATGCTAATAGATTAGTAATATCCAATTCCTATCATGGTAATCAGTGAAGACAATAGCTAAAGATTGTAGGAAGTTGGTTCAGAATATCTTGAAGGTAGCAGGTGGTTTACCCCTATATTACAAGGAGAAAAAACTTTGTAGGTTTTTTTTTTCCTGCACTCACTATCCATTGGCACTATACCTGTTGTTCTGCCGAAGTTGTTAAGATGAAGCAAATCTAAAAAATTATATTTTTCTGATGGGGAAAGTTTAGGTTAAATGGAACTATAATATTTATGTACCATTTGCATATAAAGCTAAATTACAACAGATTTTATAGAATGAAACATACAACCAACCAGGTAGCTTGGTTAACAGTTGCTTTGTTCAGCAACCATTTGACCTTACAGTGACTCTGAAAAAGTAGATTTACAACCAGTCCTTGGGCCTATGGCCATTGCAACATCCATGTGATCACATGATTGCAATTTGGGCACTTGGTAACTGGTGATGTTCACAGTGTTTTGCAGTTCACATGATTGCCAAGTAAACTCAGGAAAGTCAGCAGAGAATCACAAATCATGGTGACATGAGGGTGTGCTTAATGACCATCAATGTTCTGCTTCATGACCATAGTGAATTGACATCATACGTTGGGTGTGATCAAGTGATATTCCACTTACAGACCACATCACCTAGTGATGAAATTGCTGCAGTTGGTATATAAGAACTTCTTGTATTCATACAGTATAGTTATCCATGACTTATCTTTAGTCAGCTCAACAGTATGAAGAACACAATGAGTTTTTCAGAGTGGTTCATGGATATCAACTAATCCACATTTTAATTTAACTGAGTGCAAACCTAGTGAAAATAGCTTTGTATATGGTTTTCTGTATTATAAAAACTGCTGAAAATTGGTTGAGAAAACCTTGATTGAATTAATTGTTTGAAGTTTGTGAAGTTCATGTTAAAGTTAAATGTAGTCGACTAGTTTTAGTTTGATGTTATGCAAAATTAACCAGATAAAATAAAACCAGTAGCTGTGATCAGAGCTGAACAGTATCAGTATAAAATGCTAAATATCGCGGTAAATGGAAAAAATTTCAGCATAAGCCTAATTGTAATAAGGATGGCAATAAAGTTGATTTCTAGGAGGAAAATGTTCCACAGAATGGATGCCAGGACAGAAAACCCTGCTTTCTAATTTAAATACTTAATGCATATTAATAATCATGATTTATTAGATTTATATGTTACTTATATGTTTATATGTTACTTATATGTAAGAATGTAGGTCTATACATATGTTGCTTATAGTATGTTTAAATGTGTGCTATGTATGTGTACACTTTGAGAACAAGCAACTAAATTTCATTTTTAATGTGTGCCATTGTGCCCACAATAAAAAAATGACAATAAAGGTTCTCTCTTTCCCTCTCTCTCTCTCCCTCCCTCCCTCCCTCCCTCTCTCTCTCTCTCTCTCAAATAAATTTACAAAATCAAATTCAGTGCATTACATAAAAAATATCAGGTAAAGCAGATTTTTAAGAGTTCTGAAGGACGATGAGTGTCACGGATTAGACACACCTGGCCTACTGGTTGAAGCACCAGGCTAGTTCCATTTTAGGCATGAAAGCTGACTGGGTGACTCTTTGGGCCAGTTGTTCTCTCTGACCAACTCATCTGACAAGGTTGTTGTGGGGAAAAATAGGAGAAGGAAGGAGTATTACTTATGTTTGCTGCCTTGAGTTATTTATAAAAATAATAATGGCAGGATAAGAAAATATAATAAAAACATTCTGTGCATCCTTTATTAACAAGACACAAATTCAAGTCTACCCTTAATCAAGGAAGCTCTCTGGAAGACTTTGGTCAACCACTTTAATCCAAATTGGCAGTATTTGTAGATAGAGGGAAATTGGAGAGAGTGCTATGTATGCTACCTTGAATTCTTGAAGGAAAAGCGGGATGTAAATCTAAGAAACCTTTATTTTCTCCCCAGCATTATTCCCTTTATTCTCTAGAGGAAAATCTTTCTTATCAGAACCCATGCATCTCTTTTCAAATGGAAAATTGGTATTTGCAAGGAAAGAGCCCAAAATGTACCCTTTTAATTGCAGATAACTAGTTAAATGGGGATGAGCTAAGAATAGGGGGAAAAAAATAAAAAAAAACTAGAACATTATATAAGAGTCAAAGTCTACAAATAATTTGATATACATTTGATCAATTGTTTTTACAAAAGCTGTAGATGGAGTAGGAAAAATAAAAGTTTGTTAAGATGGCAATCTCCCTTTATACCAGCTAGAATTGCTTTAGCAAATGTAGTACTTAGTAATTTGATTAAATTACAAAAAAGACATAAAATACAGGGCAGATTTCTCTTTCTGATTCCAGAATTTTCTGCCTTCCTCAGAGATACATTTTTTCCCCATCTGAAGCTTATTCTGCATTGTGGCTTATATTCTCACATCGTTGGTAACTGGCACAAGCTGCTTTGTACAGCCGTTTTCCTCCTAGGAATAGTAATGTAGATTTTAAAAATGTCCCTTTTCACAAATGCTTCACCAACGAGTGCTTTGCAGCGCCTCCACGGGACTGCGATTCAAGCTCTTCCCAAATTACATTACTTCCTCTTGGTCTCCTGATACTAATAAAGACTTGAGCATCTTTTCCATGAAAGGTTGTCATGATTGTTGTTGCTGCTACTTGTTGCTGCTTTCTTCCAACACATACTGACCCTGGAGAGAAAATGTATTATATATAGGAAGCAGCTGAGAGATGAGAGATCACCAGAGTCTAAAACTACTTTGTTAAAAACTAAAACTAACTGGATGTTGGTCCTGCAAGGTAGATCAGACAATGAAACAGTTGTGATGTAAGTCTAAAATTACTTATAACACCTATAGATCAGGAGTGCCAAGCTTGCAACGTCATGTGACATGTCGCGATGTATAGCGACTTTTTTTCCATTGCTGACAATGGGGTGGGTGCAGTTTTGGCATGACACATCCGGCCCATGGGCCGGCAGTTTGACACCCCTGCTATAGATGGTAACAGAATTGTTCAAGTCTGAATATGCCTTCCTTCCTTCCTCTTTTATGTTCTTGAGAATTAGGGGGACATTTTTGCAAATTTCTGTGTTTATAAGGGCTTAAGCTATGCTTCTTTGTTCACATCTTTGGTAACAGATCTTCTGTCTTTCCACCAAGGCCATTCTCTGTACATTACTCCCTACATTGGGGGATTAGACTCCACATAATGTTAAGGTTTATCTCAGTGATGGCAAACCTTTTAGAGACTGAGTGCCCAAAAACTGCCCTCCCCCCGCCTGCTCCACTCCTGCTCCTGCTCTGTCCCCCCGACCCCGCTATGCCCCCATCCCACCCACCCACAGGCCCACCCACTGCCTCCACAGCCTGCCTTAGCAGATCACCCAGGTGGTCCCACAGCGTCATGGCGGCCATCCCCTCTGCCTGTGCCCCGTAGTGTCATCTACATGCCACGGGGCGTGAGAGTGGAGTCTTGTCCCTGATGCCATTTGCTTGGCTTTGCTGCTTCGTGCAGGTCATGCCTGGGGGCAACTCTTCTCCGGGGGGGCTGCTGGTGAGGGGGGAGGCAGGGCTGGGGCGACGGCGCGCATGCCCACAGAGAGGGCTCTGAGTGCCGCCTCTGGCACGCGTGCCATAGGTTCGCCACTACCAGTTTATCTCTTTGCAGAAAATGAGGGGTTTAAAAGAATG